CACACACACACACACACACACACACACACACACACACAGAGCACACGCTGATGCTGCATATTTCCAGACTTAAGAGCCCAGGACAGTTTCTCTTTTTCACCATTCACTTAGGTATGACGACTCTGTCATGAAAAATGCTCCTGTTTTCTACCGCAGGTGTTAGGAGAGGTTTGCCACAGGATGATTCATCCCTGATGTTAAACAGTGAGGTCTATTTGCGCCATTATCATCACAAATCTGACTGTTAACTGTTTGCCCCGCTGTCTAAACTCACTGATTGTTCTTTTTATTAGTGGATACTACAGAGAAGATTAGAAACCGCCTCCTTGCTTGTGCAAGACACTCTGCCAGTGGGAAAGTGCATAAATAGAGTGAAATCAATTGCATTGTACCAGTGTTTCGACTCAAAAACTCTCCTCTGGGGACTTCCTTTTGAAACTAATTCCATCATAAATATACATGTGTTACACGAAAACACACTGTCTGCCGGCGGAGTAACTGTGAATTAATTTGCCTTCAGACTCTCTTAAACAAGGCTTGTTAAAGATCCTATCTCGTTGCTAATGGTCCACAGGCATTTATCTTCATTTATCCAGATGCGTTGCCGTCCTTGGGTGCTGCTGGAGTTGATAATCTTTTTTTCTTTGCTTGTATGTGTCTGTGTATATCTTTTTTCCCTTTTTTTTCCCTGAAGCACTTAGTTAACCAGTAGAAAGAGGCTGACCCCAATCACACCCAGGCACCCACCCGAGACATATTAGTTACAAGGCTTTGAAACCATTTAGAGGAAATCTTTAGCATGTACAGTATTTACTCAGTAAAAAAGACATACCCTGTCAGTACAATGGTGGTTGATAATGTAAGGGTTTCGGTTTGGCTTTGGTTGGTTTGCTGGTTAATGTGTTATACCTCCACCCGAATGACCAGTGTATTTGGAAACATTTTGTTTTTGGGTTGTCAGTCCGTCTGGCCCAATTCTCACAAGCGATATCTCTGCAACGCTTAGAGGGAATCTCTTCAAATGTGGTACAAATGTTAAATTGGACTCAACGATTAACTGATTCGATTTTTGTGGTCAAAGGTAAAGATCCACTTCCATCCCATTCTTGTGAGCTTGATATATTGTGAATTCATCTTGTTTTATCACCCATTCCCATTCTCTTGTTTATTACTGATACAATTTGTGAGAATAATTACACTTAGGTTAAGGTCTGTGTTCTAAAATGATCATGGCAAATTATTCTATTTATAATCAAAGCTGCTAATTGTTTTCAGATGTTCACATTTTTGATCACTGTGTGCAGTCCACTGGATAAGCATTGCCTCCTCTTGTAAAGTCAGCATGTGTTCTTTCAATCTCTATCCTGTCACTGATAGCCCACCACTCAGCCTCCGCCTAAGCACCTACTGCACTTAACACAAGATTCTTACACAATGTGTGTGTGTATAAACACTGACATAATGTATCTGAAAGCTGAAATTCAGTCCTGGCCCAACATTTAATTAGGTTTCCTCAGACTTAATTAGACATATGTCAGAGGTAGTGTTGTGTGACAAGCCTTGATGTGAGATATTATATGGTGCTGCTCTGTAGATAATGCACATTATGGATGTAGCTAGCGGTTAACAATTCTACTCTAGAGTCCGTTTCCTTACATTAAGTGATAGAAGAACATAGAAATCCTCACATTTCAGTCATTTGGAGAAATCTTTTTTTCCTCAGCTGATTTGTGCTTTGGAATTGTTTTAGCTCAGCCTATACAGCAATTAATTTTTTTTCGATGTAAAATTAGAGAGAAGCAGAATCCAGCGTTATTATACCGCTGCCTTGGGGAGGCAAGGGATTAAGATGGTTCTAATGAGGTGACGACTGTAATAAGAGTGTCTTCAGCTGGCCTCCAATGCACTCCCTCTAAAACAGGGCTCCTTATCAGCGAGGTTTAGGAACCGATAAGAGCCACAAAAAAACCTTCCCCTCCTCATCTCCTTTTCTGTCTCCCCCTCACTTCTCCTCCTCTTGCCTCCCTCCTTCCACTGTAAATGAGCCTGATCCCTTTCAGATGTGATTCAATTAATTTCTCTTAGATTTAATTACAAGCAAAAGAGTCCGAGTTATCCCTCTACCCTCGATAGGGGGTCCATGCTTCCTAACAAGCTTCCTCTGGTGAGTCAGGAGAGTCTTAATTACAGTTTTTACTTTTCTTTTATCCCTCTTTTTCCCCTGTCTCCATTTTTCTCCCTCTGGTCTCATCAGTCTAGCCTCCTGCTCTTGCACGTGTATGCTCTTTATTCAGGGATAAACTAAGAACAGGGAGCAATTACGTACATCACTGGCTCCCAACCATTTTGGCTCTATAGCCCAACAATGCAGAGTCATGACACTTTGTCATAGGTAGTTCAATCAATGACATTTGAATAGCTTCAAGATTTTTGAAGAAGTAAAGAAAGTCAAAAAAGGAACATGTTCATTTTGGGCCTCTAAGGTCTCCATTTTGAGTTGTTAATAATGTTGTGATCCATTAGTCAACAAGTCATTGCAGCAGTTATAGCTCAGTTTTATTGTTGCATTTATTGGCGTTGCCACATGATCTTTTTTTTTCTTTAGGCCTTTATCAAAAGTCCTCATTTTATAGCTCCCCCTGTCAAAGTCCTGCCTATCCCTAAAAAAGTGCTGCAGAGACAGATATTCAGCACCACTTTGCCATTCAAATACTTTGCTATTATACCCTGTAGCATTTCAAGCCGTGTGTGTATGTGCGTGCGCGTGCGTGCGAGTGTGATAACACATGCCTCTGATAAAAGACAAAAAGAACAAAACAAACTGCTAAGCTATGGTCTGCCTTCATGAATGTGGCCATTGTTCAAGTTAAAGTCATTATCCAAAACATTGGCCACTGGCTTAATCTTTTTTTCTAGATAGTATGGAAAATTATGTAAAAACAGCATGATTCACACACTCTGGACTTTCCGAGCAGTTGAGGCCATTGAGGTGACTGACGTCCGAATGCTTGTCTTCCTTTCTGCCATCACCAGCATTTGTCAGGTCATTGTGTTGACTACAGAAAAACATGTGGCTTTTAGCGTTAGCAGTCACCATATTTGTTTACCTTGCAGTCTATGACCTTACATTTATTACATATTGTTGAGAATAGAGGAGCATAGAGTTGTTAAAAGATGTATATTGACTCTTTGTTGTGCCACGGCACGTGACCTGAACTGTGCTTGTGTCCCTTGTGTTTTTCCTATAGACATCATCTTCAACCAACCGCATCCTGGACAACCAAACAATTGGAGAGCTGAAGCAAGAGATAGTCTCTTTGAAGGGCTTACTGCTCAGCAGGTAACAGAGTTATCCAGACCCTGTCACATGAAAGTGTGTGTGTGTTCCTGTACTTATCTTTGTGAAGACCTATTTGTGTGTGTTTTGAAGGGCCTAGAACATACTGTTTACATGCACTTTAGAGTTCCTGAATGCTTTTGACAGTGTTATTCAGGATTAAAGCACAGTCAATGTGAAACATACCATGCTCTTTTACATGACTCTTGCCTTGATTTTATTTGTTGCTTGGTTTGCATATATTAATAAGATAAACATTATAAAGCCAACTATATAAAATAAACATGTCATTATGTATTATATTTCTATTATCGTAGTATATATAACAAGAGCAAAAAAAGCCAAACAGCCTGTTGTGTTGTTCCTCTTGATGACTGCATATGTTAAACATATAAGTTCCTTAAAGAACATAATTTTTCAGTGCTTTCAGTTGTGATCATACTACTGAAATACTGAGGGTTCATATACGATGAGAAAATCCTAGTCTAATTGAGGGATAGTCTTCAGTTAATTAATTAGAAGCCAATTTGATTGGTTTAAATGCTCTGGTAAAAGCCTGTAAGTTCAGCTAAGATTTTAGAATATACTGTGTATATTTTTCTTGAGCTCTGACTTTAAATCTCACAAACACTGTTCAAATAGTAACTACACAACAGCCATTATGGTTGCGTAGTCACTTCTACATTACAGAATTGTTGTAGATGGCCCGAAAGTTTGTGTTTGTGTATAAATGAATAAAATAAAAGAACACGTAATGTCACATTGCTCTTCCAAATTGCACACTTAAAGCACAATCATTAATCTCGAAGAAATTTAATCTCACAGGCACTAGAGGTTATAATACTGATTGCAGCATTTCTTTTACTTCTCAACGTGGCTCGGCCAATTAGCATACTGCAGGCATCAGCTGCTCTTCTGTGTTTTACTGCTTTTATTGGTGAGCAAGATAACCACACACACACATGTATAATTGTTCCTGTGCAACTTTCACTCATTTTATGAGACAAATATAAAACCACAACAAGAGAAATGATGTATGTGCACTCACAAATCAGCTGTTTCCTGATCAAACATAAAAACTGTTTCATTCACTTACACATTGATACAAGATGTAAGACATGGATTGTCACTAAGATCTTATTGTATAGATCTTATGCAGCTTTGTTCCTCAATCTAGTCAGGTGCAGCCTGGCTCAGCCAGGCCCATTAGCATGCATGACTATGTATCAGTGTCTGTAATGAAGTCTGAAGTTAGAGTGTACATCAGAAAACCGGCAAGGATGAAAATTGCCTCAGAACTGTCTAGTTGAGGATGTTTTGATTCCCCTCCTACATTCTAATCAGTAATAATCCCTTTGTCATTTGCTTTCTTGACTTCATCTGGATTCTCACAGTGGCAATGGCTCCAATCACAAAATTAAGTGTCAGTATCACCATCTGTCTCCAAACTCGTTCCCTTTCTGTTCAAATGATCCAAATCAGCTCCAAACGTTTTTTTTTTCCAACGACCAAGAAACACTGATCCCGTTATGACTGAACGTTGTCCTTTTCATCTCAAAAGCTTTAGTGAATGTAATTTAAAAAATCTTAGTGCATCTTTAGCAGGTGTGATGAACATCTGGCTGTTTGGAGGGGTGGAAATTCTTTGCTGTAATTATGAGAATTACATGGGATGCTTTATGTGCGTTGGTGCATTTTAAATGTTTTATATGTAGTTGTGTGGTTGCATTCTGTCAAATCATTGGAAATGTCTTTTCACAAATTTTGATCACTTTGAGTTTTTTTTCGAAGAGGTCATGATAAGCTCTCATTTCCCTCCCCCTGCAGGAAACAATTCCCCTCCACTCCCACTATTCCTAAGATCCCCTCATGGCAAATTCCTCTGAAGCCACCTTCAGCATCCAGCCCGCCATCCATTAACCACACCAACAGCAGCAGCGACATCTCCCCTGTCAGTAATGAGTCTGCCACCTCCTCCCCTGTCAAAGATGTACATCACTGCCCTCAGGATGGACTGGGAGGCCCTGATGGAGCACATGTTATGAATGGAGATGCCTGCACCGAGGGCCAAGGCCTGGCGCTGCCTGTGGATCTAAAGGACCAGGTCCGCATGGAGGTGCAGGGGGAGGAGGAGCGGAAGGAGGAAGAGGAGGATGATGTCAGCCATGTAGTGGAGGAAGAGGAGGAGGGTCTGAGCATGCAGACAGAAGATCGGCGAGGTGGGGATGGACAGATTAATGAACAGGTGGACAAACTGAGGCAACCCGAGGGTGCCAGCAATGAGAGCGAGGTGGATTAGACAACAACACAAAAACACTCCAAACACCATTTCCTATCTCTGCTGATGTCTTTGTTTCAATCTGCTGCTCTCTGCTCACACTGGCTCTGTTTGTTTTAATTTTTTTTTTTTAATCTATCTCCACTGTCTCTTTCCACTTGTTTCTCTAACATCTTAATCTCGAGCAAAATGAGGAGTAGGCATGAACGTGAGAAGACGCAAAACGGACAAATATTGTCTAGTTGACTCGTGGCTTATCTCAATTTACTTTTCATCATGCACACGAAATGACTGCATGCCGAAGCGAGTACCATTTTGTGATGTTGTCTGGGAAATGACGGTCAATAGTCAAATCAGAGGGAGTTTAGAGGGTTCATGCAGAACTAACCATGTAACCTACTGCCTTTAATTTTCATGATTTGATCAGATAATTCACAGCTGTGTGTTGCTGTCCTTGTAATTGTACTAAGGCTTTATACAGACCAAAGAGGCGACACAGAATGTCTCTGCTGTCGAGTGCGGCTGTGGGTCAGGAGTCATATGTTGGTACTTCACTCACAGAGTTACTGTGAGCTTCCAGAGAAGCATTAGCACAGTTTGTCTCCCTGGTGATGGCAATAGGAGAGGACACGTTCTTCCAGGGCCGGAGCTTTTAGCCTCTTTTATGTGTCCTTTCGCATTGGTGTCAGTCTGTCAATAATTCACAAGGCCAGCAGGGTGGCATTTGGGTGAAATAAAAGCCCTGAAATTCGAGATTAGAATGTGATGACGGGCTTTGTTCCATGCCGGTGTCAGGGTGTTCATGGGCTCAAAGGAGGGGAAGATAAATGTTTTTTCCCCCGCTTTCCTTTTTCACTGAGGGCTGAATTGTACATCTTTCGTGAGTGTGTTTGTGCGTGGCAGGCTAGGAAAAAACCCAGGCTGTCTGCTGAGCTGTATCTGTGTCTCCAGCAGGGCAGCTGATTTGGTTTGTGAAGTATGTTAATAATCAAATGATCAACAAATAACAGATGTATTAGTTCATGCAGCTTGAAATGTCAACGAGGCTAAAACGGGAAATCTAATACAGAAAGCCCAGTTGCATTGTATTATTTTCCGTGACAAACCCTGCGGTCCAAATTATGTAGGGCCTCCTACAGTGAGTAATCTTTACAGAAAACGGCGCCAATATTTTGTAATTAAGCTGCAGTAAGACAACAAGGGCTGCCACAGATGCAAGTTGCACAACTTGTATCACTTTTTTTCTCTTGGTGTGGAGGTGGATGGGGGAAGTAAAAAAAGAAAGAAGAAGAAATTGCCCCATGATTGAAAAGGAAAGCAATAAATGAATTCTTGACTTATTGAATTACTCACTCTGTCTCCAGCTAACAAGAAGAGTCCATGAGTGAGAAGGAGGGATATCAGCTCTCGTGCCACTTCCACCTCCATCACACGGCCTGCATAGGAACACAGAAAAGGTAGAGGGACACTGAACATTTCTGTGTGAAAATGGTCCTAATCTACACATCATTTTTAGTTCTGTTGATGTAGTTTATGTCCAAAGTTTTAAATGATGAGACGATAACAACGCCGCAGTGTCCTGTACATGTTTCATTTAGTAGATTTGTGTGGATGAATAACCTTGGTTAAAAGAAGTCAAAATTCGAGTGGCTTTTTAGCACAGTGCTTTCAGTCATTGTTCCTTTCTTTTTTTTTTTTAAGTTGCGTGTTAGCCAGGAGTGTACATTGCTGTCATACATTTGGTTTATATTTATTCTAAACCAACTGAACACACATGCTACTGACAAATCTAGTATTACTGCAATTATCCTGTTTATGAAATACTTTTATTTTCATTCAGTTACTGTTGTACATCAATGCAAACTGTTTAATGTGCTCATCGTAAATCCTAACAGAGGAACATTTACCAACTTTGAATTTCCATCCATTCAATTAACATTTAATGAAAGAAAATGAACAAACACAAACTTGAACTTGTTGTTTTTGTCTTTGCTTTTAATCTCTCTGAGATGTTTGTGTAAATGTGGTTACATATTTTCAGGGGAAGGAAAGTTTTCTGCAATATTCATATAAAGTAATTTGTACAAATTCTTGTTTCTGTTTGGCAATAATAAAATCAGACCATGGAAAACTCTGTCATATTTGTTAACCACGCTTGAGCCTTTTACATCAGGAAACAGCAGAAATGTAAATTTGTCTTTACTGATAATTGAGTGATGTACATCCAAAGGCCTGTAAGTTCTGAAACCATGTTCAGGCCAAAAACTTCAGATAAATCTTTGTGATTCATGAGCTACAGTTTAGAGCGCTGCAGTTCTTGTGTATACACTCCTTATACACCCAGTAGTGAATTTTCAGGAAGCATGACGAGGCAGGGGCTTTTACTTTTTTTTCAGCATTCTCTCTGGAAATGAGTAAGTGACACAGTTATGCATCAAACATGTGAAGATTTGTTTATTTCTGTGGGCAGATTTTCTGTTTCTTTTGGTTTCTGTTGTGGGAGTGCTACCTTTTTGAGTAGAATTTCCAATTCCATTTTGAATACATTAAATAAGTTAAAGACACATTATCAACTTATGTTTTATTGTTTTTTTCTTTTAATTGCTTGGTTTTAAAACAAATTATCTTTGCCTAATCCAACAGTACAGAATTATAAGAAAAGGTAAGGCAGGCAGAAAGAAGGAAAAGAAAGAACTCCATGGAGAAGGTAAGCTATGATTGTTAACAGTAATCTGATGTCAGTATATCCTCATGGTCCTATACATAAAGCGGGACCAGTAAAAGTATCTGAAAACTACCTAATACATTTGTAACACGAAAAACTTAGAGATATTTCAAAATGTTTTAGCTTTAAAATGTCTAAGTCACTGTTCTTGCATTATCACCAATGAAACCATGTTGTTGCCTAAATCAGAAGGTTCATCCTATTTGTCCATCTCAGTCTCAGCTTTACGTTGTCAGACAGATTAGTCCATGCTGTTCTGTAATTACTAGCTACAGCTAACATGCTAACTATGCTTGGGAGCAATAATTCAAAACTGCAGGTGAGTTTTTCTGTACATGTGTTTTGGCATAGATTCATAGTTTCATTCATTTTGTATTGCTTTATTTAAAATAAAATAGATGTGCAGTATTGCTGTATAATTACAGGTAACTTCAAATAATGTCTATCTAATTTTCCACCAATTTTAATATTGTTCTGGTCACGATGGACACCTCAGACACTGTCCTTTTTATTCCATGTAAAAAACTGGTGCCTATGTTACCCACAGCACAGCTCAACTCTCTACCATTCGGTTGGAGATTCAAGTATGTTATGCTAGTAGCTAATGTAACCTCAAGCCACCAGCCCATAATACATTTTTTTGTGTTCTTCACAATTATATTGCTAAGAAAATCAGTGGAATTCACCTTTAGCCCATCCAATAGTCATTGAGATAATTTGTTGGACTGATAGATTGCTTATCTCTCGACCTCAAACTTGGATTAATTTCAATTTATAGCAAAGTTTATGAATGTGTCTGAGCTGGTGCCTCATTCATGTTGAGAAATGATCCTCAGAATCTCAGCCTCAGTCATTTATTGTAATTTCTTGCAACGGTTGGGTAACTGATGATTTCTTGAGACTCCCAGCATTGATAGAGCAGCTAATCACAAACTGTGACGTCTGTTTTCCTATTACGCAGTTTTCTGAGCTCTTGCCGACAATGTCCCACTTAACATCCTCATCCTAAAAAAGCTGGGCTGAAAAAAATGGTTCTTCCTCATACACAGAATTAGGAATATTACCATATATTATCAGTTGTATGAATTTAATTTATCAAGGTCTAAATGATCAATAATGTTTCACATATTGATGAGGTGTATAAACTTCTCAGAGGTTCGATAGCACATCCCTTTGTAATCCATTAACCTCTCCCTGGAGTTCAGGCCAACCTTAGATTTATAGAGACGTACTGTAATAAATCCACTTGTACATCATTTAGTGTCTATGGGGATTTGCAGTGTATTCATGTTCAGAAAGCTGCGTCTATCCTTCTCTCATATTCACTTCCACATTTTAAGTCTCTTAACAGCCTCCACTGCAGTTTGCATACCTTCTGAGAAACCTTGTGCCTGTGTGAATCCACTTCCTGGGTGGAGTTGGTAGTTTAGCCAGTGCCTCTCAGTGTGGTAGTGTCATGAGGGATTGTTTGTCCAAAGCAACACCTTGGTTTTGACACCATTTGGCTCCCCGGTTGGGAGCCTTAACCTCATCAATCTTGCTGCTAAACGGAGAGCACTCAATAGGATAGTGTATCGACGCGCTCTGAACTCCATTGTTCACTAGAACTGAGCACTCAGCAGGTTAGAGGGCTGAGTGTCTCCTTGGATCAATGCAAGGGTTGTTAGCCCATAGCAGCTAGTCAGAGGGCTACACCATGGCTCTGTCTGCACCAGAGAAACATCATCTGTACGCCTTTAAATTCCTCTTTTGGTCCTTTGGGGTTAATCCCTGTCCAGCTTTTGTTTTGCAGGATCATTTACATCGTAGCGACACAGGTGAGGTTGCTCCACCAACATGGCTTCCAGACATCTCTTTGGGGAAATGTTGTAATAGATTTGCATGGTCATGGACAATGCAGGAAAAGGAGCCCTAAGGATGACATCCTCTTCCCTGTCAGATAAGATGCATGTTGCAGGCATCTGATTTCAAACATTCATGTGTGAGTAGACCTGTAGAACATCACAGGTTTCTCTACCCATCTGGAAGTATCCTACTTACTGTACTCTGCAGGAATCCTCACTTGAACTGATTTTTATCACCATTTGCAGTTAAACTAATAACCATGTTTCAAAATGTTCTCATCAAAGTCTTACAATTTAGTTTGTGCTGTTACTCTATGTTTCATGCATTTTTCAGCAGAGCAGCTCTATACATCGTAATGTAAGTCATTGGGGATTGCCATTAAATTTCATACAGACATTCATGTTCTTTTAGTAATATTCATAGTTTCCAAATGATGCATTCATGTTTTTTTATTTTTTTTTACTTTTTTTTCACAATATGACAGTTGTGACTTTTAGTGAAATGTCACAGTATTTACTATCAGGAGTGCTGTGAAATTGAGCAAATGCTTTCATGTTCTCCTGGTTTGATCAGGATAAAACGGTTTATACTTTCACTATCAGGTCAAGATCATCCAACACTTTGATTTGTAACCAAAGACCAAAAAACTAATGACATTTTAAATTTTTGGATGATATATGATAAATGTTACAGTTGCTTAACATGGACATGTTAGCCTTGCCATTAAGAGCCTGTAAGCATGTTAATGTTAGCATTTAGCTCAAAGCACTGCTGGGCAGTACAGCTTTGCTGAGCTAGCATAGCTGTGGTCTCGGTTTTGAAGATATTTTTCTCATATTATATTTACATTATAATTCAGCGGCCTATGCTTTTCTCTGAGTGATGCCTTTCCCCACTAGACTAGTGTTTCAGCAGTGAAAGTAACGAAGCATGGGTCACCTCCAAAAGCTCTGCACGCCTGTCTCTCTAAAAGCAGCTCACCAGCTCTGAGTAGCCGCTGAACCCTGGCTCCTTCCTGGTGAAAATGAGAACATTTGACAAGCCAAGGTCACCAGGGGGGCTTTGCCTGTATAAGGCTTCAAACGCAGGGCCCCGCGAACACTGCAAAGTCATAAAGCACTTTGTCATCACTTGCTATATAAACTCTCAACAATCAAGTGGGATCACATTCCCTCCCTTCCACTCTGTGTGGCCTGTGTCACTTGATTTTCTCCTGGCGCTGTTTCAAATCCAAATGGAGTGCGTGAATACCGGAAGGCTGTCATGAGCAGGGCTGTGGAGCCTCTTTTGAACTTGAAGCAAAGCCTTTACTCACCTTAGTGGCAGGTGAGGGAAGGCGCTGGAGACAAGCAGGGGAAAAACTGTGGCAGACCGTAAGGAAAAAAAAAAACAGGGAAGTAGTCTCTGGCTGACAGTACTTATGAATGGCCCAATAATGAGCCATCGGGAGAATGGTGGCCAAGAGAACGTGAAGGAGGACGGGAGGTAGAAAAATGACCGCCCTTGTGCTGCGCTGGTAGAGAGCAGATAGGGTATTGTGAGGAGATTGGATTATCCAAGAGAAGACCTGTCAGCGTGCTGAGGGACCACGGCTTCAGGCGGCGCAGGGGCAACAGGTGCGGCACTCGCCAGCATTTGTGCAAATTAGACTAATCACAGGGCCTGACTGTGGAACACCTGAAGCATGCTAGCAGCCAGGTGGGCTGGGTAGGGGGATGGGGAAGGGAGGAGAAAATAAAAGGGGGTTAGAGAGTTGAGTGCTTTATGGCTTTTTGTATTCACAGTTGTCCTCACATTCTGTTTACTTTACTACAATATTTCACTTGGAACTTTTATAAAAACAAGACTTCATCTGAATCCAGCCATGGTAGCAAGTCTTAGACACAGTAGTGAACTAAATGCTAATGTAAACATGCTAACAATGACAGTGCCCACATGCTGATGTATAGCCGTTAGGGTTATTAAGTTCGCCTATTTGAGTTCACCCATTTTGCATGCGAACATTTTCATATTGGCACTAAACACAACATGCAGATACAACTGTAATGGGGATATGAAGATTTACATTTCATGGCAATCCATCAAACCGCTGTAAAGACATTTCACTCAATGCCCACAGATAATCAGATTCTGTTCTTCTCAAACTTTGCTAACAACAAAATTGTTTCTGTGTAACAAATTTTTCCTGGCCATCTGATGAGCAACAGTCCATGAAGTCTTTGCCAAGCATATAAAAATAGTGTGGTAATAAGATGAGTAAATACGATAAATATGGATCATGAAACTTTATTTTATTTTTGTATAAATATTTTTTTTTTGTATTCAAGTTTAATGTGGATCACTTTTAGTTTTCCCAACCTAAAACCTCAACATGCAAAATGAGCTTTAGCTTTCTGACTCGCTGCCTCCATTTTCAAACGTTCATCCAAGTCACATGTGAAATTTAATGGGTAAAGTTGGATGGTGGGGCCACACTTTGACTGACCTTGTCCTCCAAAATTGGCTTGGATTGTCACAGCGAAATACAATCCACATTTTCATGCCTGTAGCGAGGAGGAGAG